GTTACGCACACCTTAAACTTAGCTTTAAAATAAGACGATGCCAAAAAGCTTCATAAATCGAAAATTACGATAAGAAAAACTATAATGATCTCCAAAATCTTTTACGCAAAGTCAAAAGTATGTTCAAATATTGCTATATTAACTTTGGTGAATTAATCTTATAAATCACCTGTATAATATAAACATGATGAAGTGTGCGATGAAAGCGAAAAATAGCACTTTGTGAATGTTTCATAGAAAAGGTTTCGTTACGATGCTTAAATTCCTAGAATAGATATTAAAAGAATTTTTCAAATGTATTTATTTTTTCAAATATATTTTCACGAATTTTTAAATATTTTGATGCATTTTTCTGGCTTGTCTTATTTGCAGATGAGGAATATCTAATAACATAACGTTAGAAAATAAGTATAAAAATTGTTGACGTTATCGCGTGTACAAGTTGTCACGAATCGATCTTCAACAAAATGTTCCTCCAATTCGTGAAAATTGTTTACAATTACATGTACGATTATTTATCTACAAATGATTAAATGACAAGGTGTAAGAAATTAATCTAGTGTAAGTAAGAAATTAATAATCCATTTTATTAGGGAAGCCGTTATTCTAGATAGTCGCTTAAAATCGTCGTGGCGCTGAAATTATTATATTATTTGTTCTAGCGTTGATATATTTATTCGACTCCAATCTCATCCACAAAATTTGAACGGCTCATTATACATCGATGAAGCGATTCTATTTGACGCCGTTCAGTGCGAACTGCAAACTATAAATGTTTTCTACTCCAGTATACATTCTATACCAGTATTCTCTTGAAATGCTGGCATATATCTTTTACGAGCTATAAATGTTAATTCCTATTTAGTATAGGGGAAACCGGGTCTAGAAGATCCAATTTTGAGAAAACATAAAAATTGACTAAGAAATAATACAATTACGTTTTTTGTTTCTGACTAATTTATTGTTGAATTTATTCTATTTTAAGATTGTCAACTCAAATTTAATATATTGCAGTAAGTTTTTCATAGAAACTCGTTTTTTGTGGTCAACTCGGGCGGAACTTTTTACTCCGATGTGTGACAAGTTGTTAACGCTCTGAGATAAGTTGTTTCTAAAAAATAAATGTTACTTTCTAATGAGATATTTCATTCTCTGATGAAATAAAACACAATTTTATTAATAAAGTTTGTTCATTAATTTCGGATGAACAGAAATACATATGTATTTTTTAAAGAAATAATATATTACCTTTGGCACAAACATTAATGAAGGAAAATGGAACTAATAATCCAATTTTATGATAATTTATAGGAAAAACTTTACATAAACCTAATAGAAATAATCTTTTAAACGAAAAAAATTAGATATTGCCAGACGACTCGTCAGAATCACAGTTCGGACAAATATATGACACAGCTTTTACTTTCTTATACATTTGGTATGAGCCTAGTTCTTGCGTAGCACATACTAAATCCATTCTTCCCTGGACTGTGATTTAGAATATGCATCGCAATACAACAAGAACTACTTGAGTTGGGGTAAGTTGTTACGGTAACAATATGCCCTGAGTCATGAGAACAACTATCCCTAATTGCAATTATGTATTCAAATATTTTAATAAATGCTATTACAACATGTTCTTAAATATTAATTGATTTATAAGAATAGAACAATATCAGAACAGAAAAAAATTAGAACAAAACGATATTGACATTAAATAACTGAATTAAACAAAAAAAATAGTGACTGCAAAATATTTACTTATCTAGTATGTGACTACTATCTTGTCTAATACTACACAATTCGCTGTCGTGGACGCTATTAAAATGGTTGACAGCGTGGCGTGATCGATCCACGTTTTCAAAACAATTGAAAGCATAACACTATTCTTTTTTATTTGAAATACATTACCATCGGAACAACTTATCCCCGGGGCTTCTAGTCCCGCTCTCCTCTGCTCCCTCTATCATGAATAATATACAGAGTGTCCCAAAAATGTCTCGTAATCCGGAAATGGGGAGTTCCTGAGGTCATTTGAAGTAACTCTTTCCTTAGTGAAAATGTAATCTACGGCATTGTTTACGAGTTATTAATGAAAAACACTGACCAATAAGAGGCAGACTTTGCTGACGCGAGACGGTCAGCCAACGAGCGCGCAAAGCCCTGTTCTGTTCATTAGCTCAGCCGCCTCGCTCCAGTTGATCTCGCCTCTTATTGGTCAAAGTTTTTCGTTTATAACTTGTAAACAAAGCCGTGGATTGCATTTTCGCTAAGGAAAAAGTTACTTGAAATGACCTCAGGAACCCCTCATTTCCGGATTATGAGACATTTTTGAAAAACCCTCTATTTTGTTTGTTATATCAAGAAGCTGATAACTGAATGATACACACAATATGTATAATATAATTATTTTTTAGAATAGTTTGTGTAATATTGAATACATTTTTATGTACTTCATATGGTAAACAATATTAAGTACATTAATTAAACGTAATTTTATGATTTTTTTCAGTATCTACGCAGGTGCATATTTACCAAATCTGTGGTGCATATACAGTGACTCGCATTAATATTCGGACACGATATTATTACAAGAATTATTGCTCCTTTGTATATACCATGCATACAGTTTGCATATCCTTGCGTATAGTTGACATATTTAATTCACATCGTAACTGTATAATCATGATATATTTTATTTTTCACACTATATT